TCTAACTTATTGCACTATTTCAGAATTCTTCGAAAAAGAACAGACCTTACGTATATGTAGCGCTGCAGCGAGTCGGAATGACAGATATCTTAACCTCTAAAATCTCGAACTTTAACGCTCAATATCTCGGCTCACAGGGCAGAGCGACACTTTTTTTTGCCAGATTCTTTCATTTCATTCAATAACGCATCGAATAAGCTTATTTTTATTGATTTTTGAGGTGGGGTAGCTAAACTGAATAATTACCAACCTTACTAACACAACACAAAGCGCAGAGCGAAAAAGCAGCGTTGCCGCATCGCACGGAGTGACGCAGTAGGATCATTTTTACACTTCTGCGCACACGGTGATACTCAACTAGTATTTTCTGTGTGTAGGGGCGATTGCGTGGACGCGAGTAAACTTTAGGTTGAGCACAACTGCAGTCGGAGAACGTCCTTAAGTAAAAAAGAAGAAATTCTCAATCTATCGACGATCACGATGGTTCGAAAACTAAAGTATCACGAGCAGAAATTGCTGAGAAAAGTAGATTTTCTGTCTTGGCAGGTTGACAACAATCTCCATGAGGTTAAAATCTTGAAACGTTATTGCATTCAGAGAAGATCAGATTATACGATGTAAGTGAAATGATTAAATTAATAGGTAATTATTTAGAATGCTCCCCTTACCTCCAATTTTGATGAAATTAGGCTCATTTGACGCGTTTTTGCATGAAACAAAAGAATCTGTAAGAAAAATGGTGAGTCTGCCACACGAACCGAAATATTAAGCGTTAAAGTTAACGACTATTCAGGTTAGAAAATCTGTCAAAGCCACGGAAGTATTGCGATGCAAACATGCACTGCGGTCACGAATTTGCTACTTTAAAACAAGTTCTCTGCTCTAAAACACAAATTCATTACTTTAAAAACAAATTTACTGCTTTCAAAACACAAAAATAATATAAGAAAACAATTGTATTTTTAAAGTAGTAAATTTGTCTTTTTAATTAGGTTTTGAAGCCAATCGAGTCCAACACCAGTTGATATTGTGTGTAAAATCTTTATTATAATAGACTATACGTTTCGATCCGTGTATTGGATCCTTATCAATATTTGTCTTTTTAAATCAATGAATTTGTTTATAAAGTAGTGAATTTATTTTTTAAGTAGTGAACTTGTTTATAAAGTAACGATTTTGTTTATAAAGTAGTGAATTTGTTTCTCTGTCCCCGTGGACAGAGATATTAATTGTTAAATTTGACGACTATTGGTTAGGAAATCTGCCAGCCGCGAAATACTGCAATGCGAACATGCGCCGCGGTCACATTTTCATGCTTTATAATCGTATGCGCATACGTTTTGGATATTTCTAGCTGTGTTGTAGAATTTGTCAGACCGTAGTCTAAAACAAAAGCAAAATAAGTTGATGATGCAAAGTACAAACTAAAAAAGAAGTAAAGGATGCAGTGCCCGAATCGTAATAACTTTTGCTATTTGTGTGGTTTACATGTACCGTCAAAATATTCGCGCTCGAATAGAGGCCTTAGTAATATTCTTTGTAATAATCAAACGTTTAGGAATATACACATTTTTCAGGCAGCATATATAAACAATAATAAACGATTTATTACGACTCTATAATGTGAAATAAAAGTAAAATTAATGAACTTTTAACATTTCATGCTCTTATTTTTATTTTCGCTTTTTAAAGCAAGATTTTTAAGATAAGTTTGAAGAGTGCTGAAGCTATTTATCTATTTAAAGGATAATTATCAATGGATTGCAGATACAACAAACTATCACGAGATATACGAGAGTTAGGTAGGAAGATTAAGGAAGTCGAGCCTGATCATTCCTTTCGTATTGAGCAAAGTGCCGTATTGTTGGAGAAGCTATATTTAATGGGCCTGATTTCCACCAAATGGGACTTGTCGCAGACACAGAAAGTAACCGCCAGTTGCTTCTGCAGACGAAGACTCCCGGTCATTATGGTGCGTAACAAGATGAGTCAGACAATACCCATGGCGACAAAATTGATAGAACAGGGTCATGTCCGAGTTGGAGTAGAAGTTGTAAAAGACCCAGCGTTTTTGGTAACAAGGTAACATTTTGTCTTGTTCACTGCACAAATGTTGAAGAAGCAAATAAAACGATATCAGTTGTATGTTTTTTTACAGAAATTTAGAGGACTTTGTAACATGGGTAGACACATCTGCTATTAAGAAACATGTATTGGAATACAATAACGAGGTGTGTGTGAGAATTTTTTCAGCATCTCTTATTATATATTATTGCAGTTAAATTATATTTTCGTATTTTATATGTAATACATATATGTATTTTTGTTTTACAGAGAGATGATTTTGATATAGTGTGATCAACTGAATTTTCTTGTTTTTTTTTACAAAAAAAGACTGTTGGTATGCAACAATGTATATAAAAAAACTTAATGTATATAAAAAAAACTGTTAATGAAGAGAGTAATCTACATCTTATTTTTTGTTTATATATAAAACATATCTTGAACATTGCTTTTAATATAAACTCCACAATAACACTATCGTTTTTCGTAAAAAGGTCTTTTTTTTATAGTTGTAATGAATAAAAAGTTGTTTTTTCCTTGTAATATTATCTGGATTCCCATAAAATACAAATACAAATATATCTTAAAAATAAAATAATAAAATACGCAGATTCCTTGTCATATGAGATAAATTTATTAAAAGTTAAATTAGTTTCTACTACTTTGAGATTGTATATATCGTTTGAACATAATCGCTTAAACATAAGGGTACGAAGAATTGACGTAATCATAAACCTGAAGATTTTTACTATTTAACGTTTAGTGCAGATGAAACACCGATTTTTATTTATAACCAGAAATTGCAAACAGTTTAAAAAATACCAACTATATATCAATATTTTTTGTATAATAACTAAGATAAAAGTCGAACCAATCAAATTTATAATGTATTCAATTTTACCATTTAGTCTTTTTATTTCGGTGTTCAGTCTCTGCTTATGAAGAACATTCAAGATGTGCTGTACTGAAAATCAGTAGAATCATATCTAGCGCTAGTCTGCAAACAAAAGTACAGTTATGTGCATTTTTACACAATCCGCTGACACTGATTCGATTAATTAATAAGGAGAACACATTTATATCGTACTAGGAATGCTAGGAATACTTCGCCAGAATTAGACAATGCAACGTGGAACGATATAAAGAAAAATTGGAGCAGCGATGAATCATATCACGTGCATTCCGAGCAGCCACTCATTCATATACTTATAATGATAATTAGTATTTATTATGATTATGATACAAATGTTACATGTTAATATCTTTATAGTAATCGGCAGTCTCTGTGCTGGTCTCTGTGACATCGCCGCCACGTTAAGTAATCTTTATTACGTTCTAAAGAGTACTCGGAGTATCCACTTTTTTCTCTTTTCTTTGTATTTTTCTAGAACGTAATTAACAGATCAAACGGGGGCGTGTGTCGGCTCAGGTCCCTAAGTATCTCCTCCTCTTCTCCTTCTCCTTCACCATCAACTATTTACATAATTGCCTTGCGAAATCTCTCCGTAACACGCTGCATTTATTCACAGAAGGAAAAAAAACGGTATCGTTTATTTTGCTTTTGTTCCGTATTCTTATCTATCTCCGCGGCGTATCTATATATATATATATATATATATATATACACCGGCCTCGTGAAAATTTTATTCAATTCATTCAAAATGAAACGTGAGTCATGATCGCGCGTTTTCCCATAATGTAAAACGAGCTTATGTGATATTTCCGATATAAAAGCCCATAGTGAAATATCGTACAAAAGAAGCAAAGACGAAATGAAAAGAAAAGGAAAACTAATAATATAATACATTGTGCAGTTATTAGTTATCGATAGTCGAGGCATCCACTCGCGAGATACAGTAAAGTGCCTCTCATAACTATCGAACGTGTTTCATACTTTCAAATTACTATATCTATTGTTTATTTTTTCTTACGTGGAGACATATTGTTACATATAGAATTTCGCACCAAATGTGCTTGTTATGACTTTTGTCCCTTCTCGAAAGAAATTCAATTCTTTCTTTTCTGAATCATTCTACTGTTCTCTTTGTACAAATTCGTTAACGTATTCTATTCTATCGATTAATTTTAACGAGATACTCAGTGAATTATGTGGTCCTTTTATGGCCCTGAAACAAATATATCGCACAACAAAATGCAGAAAATGCATGAAAATTTCCGTTGCATCATTTCATTTAAATAATTATTTATTTGAAGACTGTAAAACGCTGAGTATCACGCTAAACTCGAATTTGCAAACCTACATTGCTATATCTGGGGTCGCCCAAATTCTGAGAAATTATGACAAGGTCCTGCTGGCTATTTCTCAGGTTTTGGTGAGTTCACCAATTTAAGCATCCATGCTTCTTTCGATATTCGAATGTTAGAACTAAGTTGTTTTGAGAAAGCAAAGTAATAAAATATATTTTTGTAAAAAGATTGAATGATTAAGGAATAACCGTGACAAAAATAAGTAAAAAAAGTGCTTTGGGAAAACTGTATGCATTTAAATGCAGTTCGCAGTAGTGAAGAGAATTGTGAATCATAATGAAATGGCCAGCTTTGTGTGTGTGTGGTATTAATGAACATATGAAAGTTTCAGAAAGACCAATGGATGACTGCTTTGATGAAAAAAAAAATAAGATTCTTACAGTTTTACACTACTATCTACAAAAACTTCAATGTTTTTTTTAAATTTTAATATTCTCTTCGTATTATGCTTGTGTTGCAATAAATAGTATAAATTTTACATAGGCAGTTTTACATATGCTACTGTACAAGAAGTGTATAAAAAGATTTATATCTTTCCTACTCCAATTTAAGTATAAATTTATCGATATAAATAAATCTACAACATTAGACTCAAATATAATTTTTATATAATAATTTGACGCTGAAAAAGGATTCTGAAATATATCATTAGAATTTGAAAGCAGCATTACCACCCATTGTGGATCGCAGACGTTTTCTTTACAATGACTTAATTTATTAATAAAATGTTTACTTTGTTAAGCAGAATAAATTAAAACCGCTTATTATTATCCATTACGCTACATTCAGTTCACAGGGCCAGTCATTCCATCTTCAGATAAAAAATCTAGTACTTTATTTGATAAATAAATCTCTTATGTCTCTGCCTGGATCGTAGCATCGGCTGTAATACAGACAGAGTAATAAGTTTGGCGAACGTTGGAAAGACTGGTCCTTCAAGACAATATCGAATTTACGCTTTTGTTAATCCTCCAATATTATGCTATCTGATATTGAATTCCAGTCTTTATGTCCTTGACATTTATATCGCGGATAAAATTATCAACTAGTAAATGATTCTCCCCTTCCACAGTATATTAATTTGATCATTAACAATTTAATTATATTAATCAAATTAATTTCTTTAGAGTATTAAATCAAGCGTTAGATAGTATTTTCACTGTAAAAGTCTGTAGAACTCATGTGTGTGGACGAAAATGAATGAAAATTATAGAACGAATATCAGATATGAATCGTGATAGACATAAGCTTTGGAAGATTGACAATATACCTATTTTGTTCATTCAAAATTGTAATTTTTACAAATTATATTTTTACATACCGGAATGCACGTGGCGACATTCATTACATATCATTGCAATTTTATGGCTGTAAAATATAAATGTACGATAATAACGAAAGCGTCTTATCAACTTTAGTGTCAGCTATTAATAAAAAAATGCACATGTCGCCGAAATAATGTACAGACAACATTATATAATTTTTAATAACAGGTAAGTACAAGACGTTTTTGTGCTCAGTTTTTTTTGGAGTATATCTACACATTTTTAATTGGACATGATAAATTTTGAGTTTTTTTTATTATACGCTGCGACAACGAGTAGATTATTGCATATTAACAAGATCATTATATAATGTAATGATACGTCGCGAAACATTTTTCCAAAGATTTTCCAACACAAATAGTCTCTCTACATGTGTCAGATATATCCATATCATAATATAAATAAGCATAATTTTAATGCTTATTAAAACTCATATAAATATATAAGTAATATATATATAAATTATCAATCAAATTTTTAACCAATAATTAAAGACAATTACAAAGTTATCTCTTAATGCTCAAAAGGGATAATACCGACATTCTTCATACACTCAAAACTTTAAGATTTAAGTAAGTTTAAAACGTATTCTTTTACGTATTCTTTAACTTGAAATGGATGTAAGGAGAATTCAAGCAATAACATCTACTTTAAATATCTAGCAAAGGATCCTAATAGATCCTAAAACACTTTTCTCACAATTGCTACTCGGATATGCATATTGAATAGTTCTCGTCCAATACGCACAGTATGTACATCATATGGATGGAATCGTAAAACGGTAACACTTTATAAAAATGGAAAATGTCTTCATTGATGCCAGTAACAATTATTATGCTATTGCTTCATGATTTTAATATTGAAATTGGATGAACCTTTACAATCCAAATAAATATATACCCTAACCAGACCTTCACTGTATAAATCTCTTTGGATAAATAAGAGATAAAGTTGAATGAGAGATAAGACAGTTCAAATGAGTCATGCGTAGTTGTCCGTATTATCCAATCGGAGTCGGAAAACGTAGATCAATTATGATTCGATATTGCAGAATTTATAATTAAGATAGTCATCTTCAACAAACGTTAAATTATACTATATAAAAGCTTCGGTGGTCTAAAGGCTTAGGACGCTCGCAAAGAATGCTGTATAGAGATCTGGGATTGACTTTCGATCGAGGCAATATTTTTCGCAATAAGAATTAATTATTTACAGATTTTAATATGTTATTCAGCATTATTAACGTTGTTCTAAGATGCGTAAGAGCATCGAATTGTTAAATTGCTAATCAATTTAATTATAATATTACTGTGGTAGTTTAGAGTTTGTCTTTCAAAAGCAATTTAAAAAACTACATACGTAGTATATAAATTCACACAGAATTATACAAACACTTAAGATCTAGCTAGACCGTTAAAGGCATTTATTTCCTATTGATTGTGTTCTCACATGTATGATCCTACGAGATTTAATATTTAATACTGTTAAATTATATAATGTTGTTGCTAGGAAATTCCAAGTTACAATCTTAATTAAATTATCGAATCATATAATTGATTCACGTTTTCCTATTCTGATTGTATAATAAATTCGCTTGCGTTACACTTAAAATGCGAGAAAAACACTCATCTGCCAGTAATGTATTCGAATTACCCAGTTGAAATTAAGAAACATTCTTCAACATTTAAATGTCGACAATATTCACTGATGATAATCTGGAGATGAGCCAAAACGTTGAAAGTAAAATAAATGA